TCCATTCTCCTCTCAGGATCTTGGGCACGCACGCACACGCACCCGGCGTGAGTTTAAGCCACCGGGTCCGGGACTCAAATTGCGGTTGACTACGTGGGAGTCCAGCGACATAGCCATTATGCTAACTGCTGGTCCCCTAGCACAATGATTTTGAGATTCATCTATGTGTTGTTTTGCTTTTTAAAAATGTCATTGCAATCAACTTTCTCAGTTTGCAATTTAAAATAGAATTTAGCAGACTTTCTCATCATGCCCACCAAATTGGCCCACTACAGCTCTGTTAACTTGCAACTGTTCTTTAACTCCCCTCTTATTTATTTATTTAGATTTTTGCTATAGGATGTGTGCTCTTACTGGAGAGAGAGAAAAGTGAGAGAGAAGGTGAGAGATCACCCTCTGGGGGAATGGCCACACTGCAACCCCTTCTTCTCCATTCTTCTCTTAGGATTTTGGGCATGTGCATGTGCCTGGCATGTTTGTCAAGCTGTCAGGACTGGGATTCACATCATGGAGTCAGCCATGTGGGATCTGGTGACTTAACCATCATGGTTCGCTGGCCCCGAATCCCCTTTTAAGCTATTGTTTATTGTGTTCTCTATGCTAATGATATATTTTTATTTATGTGTTATTAAGACCATTTTACTAAAGAGGAAACTGAAGTTTAGAGAGGGTAAATTGAGCAAATAGTTAGGTGCGAGAATGCCAGCATTTGATTCTTGGTTCTATTTCTGTAGCTGTGTGATCTTGGACAAGTTACTTAGTTTTCTGTGTTTTGTTTTACTCATATGAATTATAAAATAGGATGAAAAATAATACTACTGTAGGGGCCAGTACTGGCATGATGGTTAAGATGCTGCACTTCCACCTGGCTGACCACGAGTTTAGTCCTGGACCTGGCAACTTACTTTCTCACTTTCTCTCTCTCTCTCTGTATCTCTCTGGTCAAATTAATAACAATAAATAAAATTGCATAAATAATTATTTAAAGAATAGTAATAATACTGGGGCCAGCAGGCAGCCTGGTGGTTAAGGCTCTGGAATCTTATATGGCAGTCAACTGTGGTTTGAGTTCTGTACCTGGCGGCTTGCTTTCTCATTTTTTTCCTTTTTCTCTCTCGCTATCTCTTGGGTCAAAAGGGAAAAAAAAAAAAGGGAAAAAATACAATTAAATGAATAAAATAAGTAAGTCTTAAAAAAACAATACTACCTACCCTATGGGATTGTTGAAAGTGTTAAATGAGATAGCGTCTATAAGGTACTATTAAGTGTCAGTAAATGGCTACCTGAGATATGATACTTAAAGCTAGTAAGTGACAGAAGCATAAACTTGTAGCTGTAGGCTTAGTGTAAGCAGCATGAAACAGTCATTCAGATCATGATAGGGATCACAGATGGAGATTTTATTAACATGACAATGTCTGATTATTTGCTATTGTATGTATTGCTCAAGACCAAGCAAGTTTGAGACTTCCCAGGGGACTTCTCTCTCTCTCTTTTTTTCTATTTCTTTTTTTTTTTTTTTTTAGTTTGCTGTAGGACATGTACAGTTGCCAGAGAGAGAAAGAGAGGCAAAGTGAGAAATCACCCCCCATGTTGTAATTCCTTCTACTCCATTCTCCTCTTGGGTTTTTGGGCACACATATACATGCACCCATTGTGTTTTCAAGCTGCTGGATCTGGGTCTGAAACTTGTGGTTTGTCATGTGGGATCTAGCTTGACCTCCACACCACCTGCTGACACTCTCCATTTATTTTTATTTTTCTGAAGAGCATGTGTGCTTGCAGGAGAAGGAGAGAGAAGGAAAGTGAGAAAGCATCCCCCCCATGGGGAATGGTCAGGCCACAATCCCTTCTCCGTTTTCACTCCTTTCGGATTTGGGGCATGTACATGTGCCTTATGTGTTTTTCAGTTGCTGAGTCTGAAACTCCAATTGTGCAATCAGTCATATAGTAGGATCGAGCTGCCTTAACCCCCATGCCATGGGCTGGCTCCTTTTCTCCTTTTCTCCAGGTCGTCATGTACACACACCCCTGCCCAGCATAGCATGTTATTCAAGCCACCAGGGCCAGAATTTGGACTGTGGTTAACCATGTAGGATTTAGCTCCAAATGCACAGTGCTTAATCACTGGCCCAGTAGTTATATTTTTAATTATATTTGTTTCCTTTTATAGTAGATTCTAGTTTTTAGGTAAAAGTCTTCATCTTTCCAACTATTTTCTAGACAATATGAGTTACAGTGTTACCTGTTAACTCTAGTAGCTAGAGCACCACAACCCTTTTTTTTTCAGCTTGATTTTCAGCTATTGCCCTGGTTTCTTGGACTGTCAAGTAATATTTTATTGAGTGCTTGACATCATAAAATATTGGTGAGCTTCTAGATGATACTTTTAAAAAGGTTCATCCATCTTTATCTCTCTCTTTTTTAAAGAATTAATTTACTTGGGACCAGCAGTTAGCATAATGGCTATGTCGCTGTACTCCCACGTAGTTGACCATGGTTCGAATCCCAGACCCAGTGGCTTAGACTCACGCTGGGCGCGCGCATATATGCATGCCCAAGATCCTGAGAGGAGAATGGAAGAGAAGGGATTGAGGCCTGGCCATCCCGCCTGGGGGGTGATTTCTCGCTTTCTGTCTCTCGGTCTCTCTCTGTCTTTCTGGTGAGCGCACACGCCCTATAGCAAAAACCTCTCTAAAAAAAAAAAAAAAGAATTATTTTATTTTCTTTTCATTGTCATTATTATTATTTAATTTGACTAGAGACAGAGAGAGGGAAAGTGAGAAAGCAAGTCACCAGGTTCAGGACTCGAACTGTGGTTTGCCATGTGGGAGTCCAACACCTTAACCACCATGCCACCTGCTTAGCCCCTTTCTCTCTTTTAAAAGTTTATTCATTCCTCCATTAATGAGAGAGAGAGAGAGACATCCCCAGCAGGATAGTGACTTGAATTCCACACCAGCTTCAGCTAGTCCTGTATCATGAGTGTGTTCAGGGAAAGCTCCACAAATCTCCCCTATCTTTCCCATGTGGGTCAGTCATGCAGTGCTGCATTAACTACTGCACCACTTTCTGGCTTCCTGTCTTTTTTCTGCTTTATCAGATAAGTCATCTTAATCCAGGTTGAACTGAGTTGACGCTTGGTAGGTCTCTGCCTCCCTCCTGTCCTACTCCTAAGATGTAGTCCTTTAGGTCTTCCACCTTAAAGTCTGGTATGATCAGTTACCCTGGCAGGGCTTGAATTCTGTCATGTCTCTTCAGTCCGATAAGACTGCCAAAGTCTTTCCTTTGCTTTTCAGAGGTTTTTGGCCTACCTCCTTAACCTCATTTGTGCAGCTTCAGAATTTTCAAATATTCTGAAGGGAAAACTAGCTGTCAGATTCAACCATTGGCACTTCCCCTTCTCACTTATTAATAGATCTTTCATTTCCAATTTGGTGTCTGTGGCCTCTTAAGACCACCAAAAGCTCTGCTTTTATCTCAGTTTTTTAGCACCAGCCTTGGCAAGCTTGATTCCCAGCCTCTTTGCCTCTGTTGAGCAAATGTCTCCTTGGAAAAGTGGCTGCACTTACCAAAGTCACCTCTTTATCCTTCCTATTCTTTGGATTCTTGGTTCCCTGGCTGTTTTGCTTCATCAGTTCTCCAATAGCTTTGAATAGAGAAAACTTTCCCCCCCCTGCCTTTTTAACTTGTTCTTTATGGAAACATTGGTTTACCACAAAGAGTACCCCATCATACATGGGAGTGATACTCACATATTGTTTATGTGACATCAGTTTCTTTAAGTAACTCTTTTTTCCTGATTGCATTATATATAGGGGAGTCTCCTGGAAAATATTATACATCAATGTACAAATAAATAAATACATTCTTTTTTTTTTTTTTTTGAGAGGTTTTTGCTATAGGGTGTGTGTGCTTGGAGAGACAGAGAGAGAGACAGAGAGACAGAAAGTGAGAAATCTCCCCTCAGAGAGGGTGGCCACACTACAGTTCCTTCTCTTCCACTCTCTTCTTGGGATCTTGGACACGCACGCACACGCGCCCGGCGTGAGTTTAAGTCACCGGATCCAGGACTTGAACCACGGTCGACTACATGGGATTCCAGCAACATAGCCATTATGCCAACTCCTGGTCCCAAATAAATACATTCTTAATTAAAAGGCCTGGTAATGAGACTATCTATAACTGCTTCAGAATCAGCAATCACTTAAACTATTGTATAAACAAGTGGAAAAACTATTCAGTAGTTAAAACCCAGGTGTACTTTCTTAGGATATTTGATCTCCTGTGGTTATAATGATCATTTCAGTATAGTTTTATGTCTGGGGCCATTATTTCTCTTTGCATTTCCTTAATATCCGCTTACAGTGTTAGCTCTGTTTACATCATGTGATTTCATAGTGTAAAGAACTGTTCAGAAAGTTTTTAAAAAAAAGGAAGAAGAAAAGAAAACTTGAGACAAGAGATGAGAACTCCTTCCCCATCTCATCTCCCCAAGTAACTACTATCTGTAACTAGTTACCTTCCTTTCCCTCTCTCTCCTTTCCTTGTCTTGCTACTGCTTCTCTCTCCTGTTGATAGACATTAGTTGAAGAAAATGTAGAAATTGAAATACATGAAAAAAATTAAAATTTCTTATATCCCTACCACCAATCAGTAGTTACTCTTTGAGCATTCGTGCCTATCTTTGTGGGTTTTTTCCCTGTGTGAGTCATCATTAGTGACTCTCAGCCCTGCCTCTTCGTTAGTATCACCTGTAACAACTAAACTATACATGTAGATTCTGGGATACGCATCAGACTCAACCAGATCAGAATCTTCAGGGATCAGTAGGGCTAAGAGAGTTTCATTTATAAAAACAAAAACTCCTCTTCAGAATTTTTTTTTAACAACTTTCAGAAAAATTTTAAAATAGAAAAAAAAAGACTGCTGCAATATTATAGAAAACTTTAACTGTAGACAGCTCTTTATCTAATTATTCGATTTTAACTTTTTCCTAGCCATTCCACCCCATGGTGAACCTGGATTGTTCTCGGGATTTCCGGCCATTTCTTTGTGCACTGTATGCTCCTATTTGTATGGAATATGGACGCGTCACACTTCCCTGTCGTCGGCTGTGTCAGCGGGCTTACAGCGAGTGTTCAAAGCTCATGGAGATGTTTGGTGTTCCTTGGCCAGAAGATATGGAATGTAGTAGGTGCGAAAATCATAGATTTTCATGGCTTATTTCTTATGTTGCAGTATGTTTAAAATTACTTGTCTTTTGTTTCATCAATTTTTAAAAACTTTTTGAAGTATACATTATTGGTCATTAGTTTTTAAGTAACATGAGCAGTAGTTTCATGGCTTCTGAATTATTTCCTTAGGAATTAGGGTGCATTAAATGAAAAAGGTAGAAAAATAAAACATTTCTGTTAAGAAAATTTTAAAAAGATCAAGAAATATGAAGTCAAGACACTAAGTTGATTTTTTTCACTTGAGAATTTTTTTCTGCTTATATAAGTAATACCGTTTGTGAAAAATTAGGAAGTACAAGGAAGAAAATAATTTGTTATTCCTTCATTGAGAAGACTTAAAGATCTTTATGATTTAAATGTGTTAATGACTAAAGTAGTTCTGTTACTTCCTTTTTTCTGTCTCAGGCTAGCATACCAAATCCAAAAAATGTCAGATCCTTTTCAAATTTACCCAGTATAAAGGTACTTCCTAAAGGCTTGAAGATTTGTTTATTAGACATTCTTCTAGTTTTGTATGAGTGATGATTATTGATAGTACTATTTATCGTGTTTTGAAATATTTCAAAGATAAAAAAATAATAAGATGTGGGGCCAGGTGGTGGCACAGTGGTAACGCAGCTGGACCTGCATGGGAAAAGCTCTGGGTTTGTGTCACAGGACCTACCTGTACTCGTGAGGTGTGCATGTGCCTGTAATCAGGCTGGCTGAGCCTAGGGGTGGATCGTTGTATGAGGATCATGTTAGGAATGGCTCTGTCTCTCTCTCTCTCATATGAAAGAAAGAAAGAGAACCAGCAGTTAGCGTAATGGCTATGTTGCTGGACTCCCACGTAGTTGACCGCAGTTCACATCCTGGACCCGGTGGCTTAAAACTCACACCGGGCGCATGTGCGTGTGTGCCCAAGATCCCGAGAGGAGAATGGAGGAGAAGGGATTGCGGCATAACCATCCCCCCTGGGGGGTGATTTCTCGCTTTCTGTCTCTATGTCTCTCTCTGTCTGTCTGGCGAGCGCACGCGCCCTATAGTGAAAAAAACCTCTCTAAAAAAAATTAAAAAAAAAAAAAAGAAAGAAAGAAATAAGTTAACTTAAAAATAAAAAAAAGAAAGTAAACATACCTGTTATTATCTACCATTGTCCAATCTAACATTTTTAAAAGAACATTTGTACTATTGCTTCAGATTAAAGAAAGAAAACACAGGTAGAGTTGAAGGTTCTTCCTTAGTACCCATCTTGACCACATTTCCTTTTTCCCTCCCCCAAAATAAGGTATAATGGTATTAAATTTGTTGCTAATCATATTCGTGTTTGTTTTTATACTCTTACTACACACACACACATCCCTAAATAACATTTTTTTTTTCTTTTTTGCCAGAGGATATATGCAGTCACCAAAGAGACAGAGAGACAGAAAGCGAGAAATCACCCCCCAGGGGGGATGGTTATGCCGCAATCCCTTCTCCTCCATTCTCCTCTCGGGATCTTGGGCACACACGCACATGCGCCCGGTGTGAGTTTTAAGCCACCGGGTCCAGAACTCGAAGGTCTGGAACTCAAACTGTGGTTGGCCATGTGGGAGTCCATCATGGCAACCACAGCACCAAATACTAGCCCAAGATAGGTATTTTTGACAGGGTCTCAAAACCTTGCAATCTTTACTACTCCAGCCTCCCAGTCAGGTAAGACCACAGACACATACTCTTGAGTGTTCTGTTTAGGTGGAACTGGGAACCAAACCCAGGCCTCCCATGTGGCCCCAGTCATTGCACCCTTCTATTTACACACCACTGCAACGGGGCCCATATTTAAAAGTAATTTTGGGGCCAGCAGGTGGCATAGTGGTTAAGGCAGCTGGATCCCACAGGGCTGACTATACGATAAGACTCTCAGAGTTGGCAGTTTGAGGAACACACCAGGTGCATGTGTATGCATGCCCAAAATCCCAAGAGAAAAGTGGAGGAGAAGGTATTGCGGTGTGTCTGCTCCGCCTGGGGGGTGATTTCTCACTTCTCCTCTC